TACCCTTGCCTTTGGATGAGCCCCCGGCTTGCTCCTTACCTTTATATACAATATTTCCAAGTTATTCAAGCACCAAGATACTTATACAGTCATCAAAATCATGGTTGTGTTCATGCATGTCGATAAGGCCACTAGGGAAGTCATACGACCGCACTCTTTACCCTGCTTCATCATTTCGGTAATTTCTCCCTTGATACTTAACCAAATCAGTTGATTCTTATTGATACTGAAACTAGATTCATAGGGCTACAACATATCCAAATTTCAGACCATTTGGATCAGTATTTTGAGCCCAGACACGTCAAGACATGTTCAGCCACTTCTTTCTTCATCCTTGGCCACCAATAATGAGATCTCAACGAACGGTACATTTTTTGTCGTTCGTGGATGCATTGCATAAGGAGAGGAATGAGCTTCTTCCAAAATCTCCTTCGCAATTCATCCACATTTGGAACACAAAGTCTTTCGTTTAGTGTCAGAACGCCATCTCGAAGTGTGAATTTAGTTTCTTCCCCTTTACGACTCTTATCAATAATCTTCCTCAATTCAGGGTCTTGATCCTGAACTTTAATAATTCTTTCTCTCAGAATTGGTCGCACTTGTAAAGTGGCCAATAACCCTCCTGTGGAATTCATTTCCAATTCAACACTCATAGCTCTTAAAGAAATCAAATTTTCCATTAAACCAGTCTCCTCATTTCTAGTACGATGCTTGGTCTTTCGACTCAAAGCATCTGCCACAACATTTGCTTTGCCTGGATGGTATGCGATGGTACAGTCGTAATCTTTCAACAACTCTAACCACCTCCTTTGCCTAAGATTTAGCTCTTTTTGCTCCATCAAGTACTTGAGACTCTTGTGATCAGTAAAGATCTAAAAAGTCTCACCTTCCGCTTCAACTCTTCGAAACTGGATTGACATTTATTATCCCATATAAAAGATTGCTCTTTCCTCAGTAACTTTGTCAATGGTGCAGCAATCAGAGAAAACCCCTCAATGATTCTTCTGTAGTATCCGGCCATGCCAAGGAAACTTCTTAGTTCAGGTATATTTTTCGGTGGCTCCCATTGTATCACTGCTTCTACTTTCCTTGGATCCACCTCTATACCTCTCTCAGACACCACATGGCCCAAAAATACTACTTGATCCATCCAAAATTCACATTTGCTGAACTTATCATACAACTGCTTTTCCCTCAGAATCTGCAGTACAATTCTTAGATGCTCCCGGTGCTCTTCTTCACTTCCAGAATACACTAGAATATCATCAATAAAGACGATCACGAACTTATCTAGATATTCCTGAAACACTCGGTTCATCAGTTCCATGAAAACAGCTGGAGCATTTGTCAACCCGAAAGGCATGACAAGAAATTCGTAATGCCCATACCTAGTACGAAAAGCTGTCTTCGGTATGGACTCATCCGCTACCCTTAATTGATGATAACCTGATCTTAGATCAATCTTGGAAAAGACCCTCGATCCTTGTAGTTGGTCAAACAAATCATCAATCCGAGGTAACGGATATTTATTCTTAACCTTTAACTTGTTGAGCTTCCGATAGTCAATACACATACGAAAAGTTCCATCCTTCTTCTTCACGAATAATACCGGAGCGCCCCAAGGGGAGACACTAGGTCTAATAAACCCCTTATCTAGCAACTCTTGAAGTTGCTCCTTCAGTTCTTTCAGTTCTAACGGAGACATCCGGTACGGAGATACAGAGATCGGAGCACTGCCCGGTATCAGTTCAATAGTGAAATCTATTTCCCTTTCCGGAGGTAATCCTGGCAGTTCCGAAGGGAACACATCCAGGAACTCCTTCACAACCGGAACATTTTCAGGTTTCAATTCCGGTTTGCCCTCAGTCACATAAGCCAGATACACTTCACAACCTTCCTTCATCAAACTCACCACCTTGGTGGCCGAGACTAGGCAACTAGGCACCACCTGTCTAGTCCCTCGAAAAATCACATTCTGACCATCTGGTCTTTCGAAAATTACTTCCTTGGTATAACAGTTCATTATGGCTTTATGTTGGCTTAACCAATCCATTCCTAGAATTATATCAAATTCAGTCAACATTAACCTCAATAAGTTAGCTGGCAGAATAGTTCCAGCTATACTTATTAGGGCATCAGGATAGGCATATTCAATCACTACGGTATCTCCTACTGGGGTTTGAACTATTACATTCTTGTTCAACATTTCAGATTGCACAAGCAACCCACGTGAGAATGCAGAAGATATGAATGAATGAGTAGCACCAGGATCAATCAACGCATAAGCGGTAAGATCATAGATAAGCACCGTACCAGTAACGACCTCTGGGGAGATGTCAGCCTCCCTCCTAGTCATAGCAAAGGCTCGTGGCTGCACTTCACCCCGACTGCTCTGTCCACCCTGAATTTTTGCCACGATTATTACCACCTCTTCCTGATCCTCTCATTGGACCTCCAGTCCTTCTGGACCCTTGAATTGTAGTCTGGGATCCAGCAGGCCTGGACTCTGACATGAGCGGACAATTGCGGAGAAAGTGGCTAGTGTCTCCACATCGGAAACACCCACCAGTCACCCTCCTACAAACACCCATATGCTGATTCCCACAATGTGGGCAAATAGGAGCTTAGCCTGCACTACTCCGCTCTTGTCCGGGGTAACTGGCGATTGGACGTGAAACCTTCTGACTCTGATTAGGTCTACCCCCGAATGAGTTCCCAACACTCGAGGAACCCACGTTCCTCCACTTTCTCTTCCCTCCTTCAACCATCTGTGCTCCCAATTCATTCACCAAATCCTCTGCTCTCATTGCAGCCTCTCTCAAGGTGGCAAGATCATTCATCTCTGATTTTGCTACTATCATCTTGATCTGGGGATTCAGGCCTTGCTCATAGCGGTTGCATCTAGCTCGTTCAGTAGGTACCAACTCCATCGCGAAGGTCATCAAATGATGGAAAATGGCATCATACTCTTTAACAGTCTGCCCCCTTTGTTGTTTCAGGTCCAGAAACTCTTTCTTCTTCCTATCCACATACAGATCAGGCACATATTGCTTACGGAATTTCTCAAGAAATTCCGCCCAGGTATACTGAATTGTACGATCCCGAGCTCCGGGTACGGTCAACCACCAGTCATAAGCATCAGACCTGAGCAGGTAGTACATATACTCCACTCTTGCTTCATCAGGACACTCAAGGAGGTTAAAGATTTGTTCTATCTCCTTGATCCAGTCCACAGCATCTTTAGGGTCAATAGCCCCTTTAAAGAACTCAGCCCCCATATTCCCCAGTTTTTCAAAATCCTTGACATAAGGATTGGCTCTATTGCGGGACTCAGCATTATTCCCATTAAAATTAGAACCTCCAGCATTAGGATTCACATGAGGTTGCGGATCTACTCCTTGACTGAACTCCACAAAAATAAAGTACAAAGTCAAAATCAATAATTAGTCACTTCCCCGTGAAATCATTTAAGTTTTCCCAGTAAAATCTCGTTAAAAACGTTTGGTAACCACATGATCATATCCCAGCTCTGATACCAAAAATGTAATACCCTTACTTTATATTACAAAACGAAACAGTAAAATACATCGAGTTTAAACATTCTCGGGCCCGAGCTTTATATAAGTATTTTTTTTCAAACTTCAAACTATAATTTACATTTTCAATAGAGTCGAAACAGAAAATCGGGGAAGTCTGCTTTATTACAAAATCCACACAACATAAAACATTCAAGGAGTTCGGAGTCCTCCGCCCACCTCATGGCTTCCCTTCAACCTTGAGTCCCGATATCTACAGTACACGCCTTACTTCTACTCTTGATCTGAGGAAAAATGGTGACGAAGGATGAGTCATCGCTCAGTGAATAAATTCTAAGCTCGGATCGACATCAATACAAAAATAGTATTGGGCAGAAAAACCCTAGCACATAACATGACTTAAATTGTTTTATCACACTTTTCATTTTACTGAATCAATCCAGTTCACATGCTCACATTCCACAGTCAAAATACATAAAACAGATGACAGATAGAGGCATTTTGCTTATACAATTTCACTTTCAAACTTGCTAAATGATATACTCCTCGGGTAGTACAATAGTGGAAGGCTGTAGGATAACCATGTACAGCCATAAGATAACTGGAGTACCGCGGGACAAAACCCCATCCGGTACAAACAGGAGTGCACAAGGCACGAAACAGGAGTGCTCGCACCAACAGGAGTATCGCGGGACACAACCCGCACCGATACAAAAAACAGGAGTCGCCACGGGATTACCCCAGCCCGGCTAACTGAACAGAACAGGAGTACCGTGGGTCGTCACCCAATCGGCACGGTGCAGAGCACGAGCGCTCAAACAGGAGTATCGTCGGCTTTACCCACATCGATACAAACAGGACACACTACTGTACCGAGATATCATAAAGCCTTTTTACTTATTCTTATGTATTCACCTCTTTTCATTAATAGTTCACTTAGACACCTGTCAATAATCATTAACCCGTAGGCTCACTTATACACTATATGCTTAGAAGCATTCATAGTGCTTTTGCACCCTCGGTCATAGCAGAATGAAATGTACACTGAGGAGCTTACTCCGAGTTATTCAAGCAAAACAGGATTAGTAAGCCTAATGGCCTACTCCAAATCTAAGTAGACAGGACGAGTTCGCAAGCTCGACTACTTACTCATAATCCACACAATAAATCGACAAAATGTCCTTCCATATCCCTTCCACAATTCATGCATTTCCAACTTCATACCAAATGCAAATAAGGAATAAATACCAATAAGCCATATAACCTAGCCATATCATTTCCCATGAATTCACATATTATACCGGAGCCGCTTCATGACCCCGATATGTATTAGGGCCGCTTCATGACCCGAATACTGTGATTATGTTAAAGTAGATCTAAGATTAGAATCTACTCACAATTTTATCTTCACTCTGCTATACCCTTGCCTTTGGATGAGCCCCCGGCTTGCTCCTTACTTTTATATACAATATTTCCAAGTTATTCAAGCACCAAGATACTTATACAGTCATCAAAATCATGGTTGTGTTCATGCATGTCGATAAGGCCACTAGGGAAGTCATACGACCGCACTCTTTACCCTGCTTCATCATTTCGGTAATTTCTCCCTTGATACTTAACCAAATCAGTTGATTCTTATTGATACTGAAACTAGATTCATAGGGCTACAACATATCCAAATTTCAGACCATTTGGATCAGTATTTGGAGCCCAGAAATCATTTTAAGTTGACGTTTCGAAACTGTCAGCTACTTTCTTCTCACTTCAATCCAACTCCCCTACTTCTAACAATTGTTCCTGACCACTCCGAAATCAAAACTAAGTTCCGAACGGTCAACTCAAAGAAACTTATATACTTAACATTATACCAAATTTATAGAAAGATCCAACGGCTACTTCGCACAAGATCTTACCTATAATCTGCTGTCCTGCTACAGGAAAGCAATGTCGCACCCCTTCTGTCCAGCGACATTCCTCGACGAACCAGAGATCATAACAATGATCCGAACGGTCCAATTGTAGACAAGGACATGTGGAACAAAACCTCTATATATCAGAACGATCCAACGGCTCAAGTGTCCAGAATCGTTTTTCCCACAAGCTGTCCTACTGCTGGACGAAAATTGGCAGCACCCCTTGTTTCCTTCTTCTTTCTTTCCTTGATATCCTTTTCTTTCTATCTATCTACCACTTTTTTCTGAAAAGGGGATGGTGGTTTTGGGGGTGGTGAAAGCAGGTGGAAGAAAGAGAGCAAGAGAGGGACGTGGGAGAGAGTGAGGGGAAGGGATGAGAAGAAAATGAGAGATAAGAGGATGGGGCAGATTTTTATCACCCTTATCTAGAATTCTCCAGCCCTCCAAATTGTCCATTTGGCCCTAAACTTTCCTTCACTTGCAATTAAATCTAAAACTTTCACTATTCACTTTCTTTCTGGTTCAAAAGACCAATTTTTGTAACCCGATCACAAACACGTCATAACAATCTGTACGGGGGCAGGGATGTTACATTTCCTCCCTTCTAAATAAAATTCCGTCCCGAAATTTACCTTGAAACAAGTAGGGGTATTGTGCTCTCATGCTTTTTTCCGTCTCCCACGTGGCTTCTTCTCCAGTGTGACTTTTCCAAATTACTTTCACCATAGGAATACTTCGATTCCTAAGTTGTTTCATCTTTCGATCCATGATTACTTTTGGTTCCTCCACATAGCTTAGATCTTTCTGGACCTCAATCTTATCTGGTTCCATTACATGAGACGGATTCGATCGGTATCTTCGAAGCAAACTCACATGGTAGACATTGTGAACTTGAGACAATTCCGGTGGTAAGGCAAGTCGATAGGCTACCGGACTTATCTTTTCCAGAATCTCATAAGGTCCGATATACCTCGGACTTAACTTACCCTTCTTCTGGAATCTCAAAACACCTCTCCAAGGAGACACTTTCAAAAATACTTTCTCTCCACTCTGAAATTCCATCTCTCTTCGGTGGATATCAGCATAGCTCTTTTGCCGGTTTTGTGTGGCCTTCAACCGGCTTCTGATCACTTTAATCTTATCCACTGTCACCTGAACGATTTCAGGTCCTTCCAATTGCCTTAACCCTTCCTCATCCCAGCACACTGGGGATCTGCATTTCCTTCCATATAGAGCTTCATATGGAGCCCCATACCAATACTACTATGGTACTGGTTGTTATAAGCAAATTCAATCAGTGGAAAATGTTCATCCCAAGAACCTTGGAAATCCAGTACACAAGCTCGCAACATTTCCTCAAGAGTGAGGATTGTTCGCTCAGATTGTCCATCGGTCTGGGGATGAAAAGCGGTTGAAAAGTTCAGACGAGTACCTAGTGCTTCTTGTAAACTTTTCCAGAATCAAGAAGTGAACCTCGGATCTCTGTCAGAGACGATGGATACGGGTACTCCATGTAGTCTCACTATTTCCTCCACATACTTCTTTGTCAGTAACTCTAGCGAACAACCCCATCTAATGGGTATAAAGTGAGCCGACTTTGTCAATCGGTCCACAATAACCCAAACGGCGTCGTTCTTCTTCTGAGTCCTAGGTAGACCATAGACAAAGTCCATGGTAATCTTTTCCCATTTCCATTCTGGAATGGACAGTGGTTGCAATTTTCCCGCTGGGGCTTGATGTTCCGCTTTCACTTTCTGACATAGCAGACACGTCAAGACATGTTCAGCCACTTCTTTCTTCATCCTTGGCCACCAATAATGAGATCTCAACGAACGGTACATTTTTGTCGTTCCAGGATGCATTGCATAAGGAGAGGAATGAGCTTCTTCCAAAATCTCCTTCGCAATTCATCCACATTTGGAACACAAAGTCTTTCGTTTAGTGTCAGAACGCCATCTCGAAGTGTGAATTTAGTTTCTTCCCCTTTACGAATCTTATCATTAATCTTCCTCAATTCAGGGTCTTGATCCTGAACTTTAATAATTCTTTCTCTCAGAATTGGTCGCACTTGTAAAGTGGCCAATAACCCTCCTGTGGAATTCATTTCCAATTCAACACTTATAGCTCTCAAAGAAATCAAATTTGCCATTAAACCAGTCTCCTCATTTCTAGTACAATGCTTGGTCTTTCGACTCAAAGCATCTGCCACAACATTTGCTTTGCCTGGATGGTATTCGATGGTACAGTCGTAATCTTTCAACAACTCTAACCACCTCCTTTGCCTAAGATTTAGATCTTTTTGCTCCATCAAGTACTTGAGACTCTTGTGATCAGTAAAGATCTGAAAAGTCTCACCGTACAATTAATGACGCCAAATCTTTAAGGCAAATACCACAGCCGCCAGTTCTAAATCATGAGTCGGATAAGATTTCTCATATGGTCGTAATTGCCTGGAAGCATAAGCAATTACTTTACCATGCTGCATGAGAACACATCCTAACCCTTGATGCGAAGCATCGCTGTATACCACATAACCTCCAGTTCCTGAGGGAAGGGCAAGAACCGGTGCAGTGGTTAACTTCCGCTTCAACTCTTCAAAACTGGATTGACATTTATTATCCCATATAAAAGATTGCTCTTTCCTCAGTAACTTTGTCAATGGTGCAGCAATCAGAGAAAACCCCTCAATGAATCTTCTGTAGTATCCGGCCATGCCAAGGAAACTTCTTAGTTCAGGTATATTTTTCGGTGGCTTTCATTGTATCACTGCTGCTACTTTCCTTGGATCCACCTCTATACCTCTCTCAGACACCACATGGCCCAAAAATACTACTTGATCCATCCAAAATTCACATTTGCTGAACTTATCATACAACTGCTTTTCCCTCAGAATCTGCAGTACGATTCTTAGATGCTCCCGGTGCTCTTCTTCACTTCCAGAATACACTAGAATATCATCAATAAAGACGATCACGAACTTATCTAGATATTCCTGAAACACTCGGTTCATAAGTGCCATGAAAACAGCTAGAGTATTTGTCAACCCGAAAGGCATGACAAGAAATTCGTAATGCCCATACCTAGTACGAAAAGCTGTCTTCGGTATGGACTCATCTGCTACCCTTAATTGATAATAACCTGATCTTAGATCAATCTTGGAAAAGACCCTCGATCCTTATAGTTGGTCAAAAAAATCATCAATCCGAGGTAACAGATATTTATTCTTAACCGTTAACTTGTTGAGCTTCCGATAGTCAATACACATACGAAAAGTTCCATCCTTCTTCTTCACGAATAATACCGGAGCGCCCCAAGGGGAGACACTAGGTCTAATAAACCCCTTATCTAGCAACTCTTGAAGTTGCTCCTTCAGTTCTTTCAGTTCTAACGGAGACATCCGGTACGGAGATCGGAGCACTGCCCGGTATCAGTTCAATAGTGAAATCTATTTCCCTTTCCGGAGGTAATCCTGGCAGTTCCGAAGGGAACACATCCAGGAACTCCTTCACAACCGGAACATTTTCAGGTTTCAATTCCGGTTTGCCCTCAGTCACATAAGCCAGATACACTTCACAGCCTTCCTTCATCAAACTCACCACCTTGGTGGCCGAGACTAGGCAAGTAGGTACCACCTGTCTAGTCCCTCGAAAAATCACATTCTGACCATCTAGTCTTTCGAAAATTACTTCCTTGGTATAACAGTTCATTATGGCTTTATGTTGGCTTAACCAATCCATTCCTAGAATTATATCAAATTCAGTCAGCATTAACCTCAATAAGTTAGCTGGTAGAATAGTTCCAGCTATACTTATTGGGGCATCAGGATAGGCATATTCAATCACTACGGTATCTCCTACTGGGGTTTGAACTATTACATTCTTGTTCAACATTTCAGAGTGCACAGGCAACCCACGTGAGAATGGAGAAGATATGAATGAATGAGTAGCACCAGGATCAATCAATGCATAAGCGGTAAGATCATAGATAAGAACCGTACCAGTAACGACCTCTGGGGAGATGTCAGCCTCCCTCCTAGTCATAGCAAAGGCTCGTGGCTGCACTTCACCCCGACTGCTCTGTCCACCCTGACTTTTGCCACGATTATTACCACCTCTTCCTGATCCTCTCATTGGACCTCCACTCCTTCTGGACCCTTGAATTGTAGTCTGGGATCCAGCAGGCCTGGACTCTGACATGAGGGGACAATCGCGGAGAAAGTGGCTAGTGTCTCCACATCGGAAACACCCACCAGTCACCCTCCTACAAACACCCATATGTTGATTCCCACAATGTGGGCAAATAGGAGCTGGGCCTGCACTTCTCCGCTCTTGTCCGGGGTAACTGGCGATTGGACGTGAAACCTTCTGACTCTGATTAGGTCTACCCCCGAATGAGTTTCCAGCACTCGAGGAACCCACGTTCTTCCACTTTCTCTTCCCTCCTTCAGCCATCTGTGCTCCCAATTCATTCACCAAATCCTCTGCTCTCATGGAAGCCTCTCTCAAGGTGGCAAGATCATTCGTCTCTGATTTTGCTACTATCATCTTGATCTGGGGATTCAGGCCTTGCTCATAGCGGTTGCATCTAGCTCGTTCAGTAGGTACCAACTCCATCGCGAAGGTCATCAAACGATGGAAAATGACATCATACTCTTTAACAGTCTGCCCCCTTTGTTGTTTCAGGTTCAGAAACTCTTTCTTCTTCCTATCCACATACAGATCAGGCACATATTGCTTACGGAATTTCTCAAGAAATTCCGCACAGGTATACTGAATTGTACGATCCTGAGCTCCGGGTACGGTCAACCACCAGTCATAAGCATCAGACCTGAGCAGGTAGTACATATACTCCACTCTTGCTTCATCAGGACACTCAAGGAGGTTAAAGATTCGTTCCATCTCCTTGATCCAGTCCAGAGCATCTTTAGGGTCAATAGCCCCTTTAAAGAACTCAGCCCCCATATTCCTCAGTTTTTCAAAATCCTTGACATAAGGATTGGCTCTATTGCGGGACTCAGCATTATTCCCATTAAAATTAGAACCTCCATCATTAGGATTTCCATGAGGTTGCGGATCTGCTCCTTGACTGAACTCCACAAAAACAAAATACAAAGTCAAAATCAATAATTAGTCACTTCCCCGTGAAATCATTTAAGTTTTCCCAGTAAAATCTCGTTTAAAACGTTTGGTATCCACGGGATCATATCCCAGCTCTGATACCAAAAATCTAATACCCTTACTTTATATTACAAAACGAAACAGTAAAATACATCGAGTTTAAACATTCTCGAGCCTGAGCTTTATATATGTATTTTTTTTTTCAAACTTCAAACTATAATTTACATTTTCAATAGAGTCGAAACAGAAAATCGGGGAAGTCTGCTTTATTACAAAATCCACACAACATAAAACATTCAAGGAGTTCGGAGTCCTCCGCCCACCTCAAGGCTTCCCTTCAAGCTTGAGTCCCGATATCTACAGTACACACCTTACTTCTACTCTTGATCTGAGGAAAAATGGTGACGAATGATGAGTCGTCGCTCATTGAATAAATTCTAACCTCGGATCGACATCAATACAAAAGCAGTATTGGGCAGAAACACCCTAGCACATAACGTGACTTAAATTGTTTTATCACACTTTTCATTTTACTGAATCAATCCAGTTCACATGCTCACATTCCACAGTCAAAATACATCAAACAGATGACAGATAGAGGCATTTTGTTTATACAATTTCACTTTCAAAATTGCTAAATGATATACTCCTCGGGTAGTACAGTAGTGGAAGGCTGCAGGATAACCATGTACAGCCATCAGATAACTGGAGTACCGCGGGACAAAACCCCATCCGGTACAAACAGGAGTGCACAAGGCACGAAACAGGAGTGCTCGCACCAACATGAGTATCGCGGGACACAACCCGGACCGATACAAAAAACAGGAGTCGCCACGGGATTACCCTAGCCCGGCTAACTGAACAGAACAGGAGTACCGTGGGTCGTCACCCAATCGGCACGGTGCGGAGCACGAGCTCTCAAACAGGAGTATCGTGGGGTTTACCCACATCGATACAAAAAGGACACACTACTGCACCGAGGTATCATAAAGCCTTTTTACTTATTCTTATGTATTCACCTCTTTTCATTAATAGTTCACTTAGACACCTGTCAATAATCATTAACCCGTAGGCTCACTTATACACTATATGCTTAGAAGCATTCATAGTGCTTTTGCACCCTCGGTCATAGCAGAATGAAATGTACACTAAGGAGCTTACTCCGAGTTATTCAAGCAAAACAGGATTAGTAAGCCTAATGGCTTACTCCAAATCTAAGTAGACAGGACGAGTTCGCAAGCTCGACTACTTACTCATAACCCACACAATAAATCAACAAAATGTCCTTCCATATCCCTTCCACAATTCATGCATTTCCAACTTCATACCAAATGCAAATAAGGAATAAACACCAATAAGCCATATCACCTAGCCATATCATTTCCCATGAATTCACATATTATACCGGAGCCGCTTCATGACCCCGATATGTATTCGGGCCGCTTCATGACACGAATACTGTGATTATGTTGAAGTAGATCTAAGATTAGAATCTACTCACAGTTTTATCTTCACTCGGCTATACCCTTGCCTTTGGATGAGCCCCCGGCTTGCTCCTTACCTTTATATACAATATTTCCAAGTTATTCAAGCACCAAGATACGTATACAGTCATCAAAATCATGGTTGTGTTCATGCATGTTGATAAGGCCACTAGGGAAGTCATACGACCGCACTCTTTACCCTGCTTCATCATTTCGGTCATTTCTCCCTTGATACTTTACCAAATCAGTTGATTCTTGTTGCTACTAAAACTAGATTCATAGGACTACAACATATCCAAATTTCAGACCATTTGGATCAGCATTTTTTGCCTAGAAATCATTTTAAATTGACGTTTCGAAACTGTCAGCTACTTTCTTCTCACTTCAATCCAACTCCCCTACTTCTAACAATTGTTCCTGACCACTCCAAAATCAAACCTAAGTTCCGAACGGTCAACTCAAAGAAACTTATATAATTAACATTATACTAAATTTCTAGAAAGATCCAACGGCTACTTCTCACAAGATCTTACCTCTAATCTGCTGTCCTGCTACAGGAAAGCAATGTCGCACCCCTTCTGTCCAGCGACATTCCTCGATGAACTAGAGATCATAACAATGATCCGTACGGTCCAATTGTAGACAAGGACATGTGGAAGAAAACCTCTAAATATCAGAACGATCCAACGGCTCAAGTGTCCAGAATCGTCCTTCCCACAAGCTGTCCTGCTGCTGGACGAAAATTGGCAGCACCCCTTGTTTCCTTCTTCTTTCTTTCCTTGATATCCTTTTCTTTCTATCTATCTACCACTTGTTTCTGAAAAGGGGATGGTGGTTTTGGGGCTGGTGAAAGCAGGTGGAAGAAAGAGAGCAAGAGAGGGACGTGGGAGAGAGTGAGGGGAAGGGATGAGAAGAAAATGAGAGATAAGAGGATGAGGCAGATTTTTATCTCCCTTATCTAGCATTCTCCAGCCCTCCAAATTGTCCATTTGGCCCTAAACTTTCCTTCACTTGCAATTAAGTCTAAAACTTTCACTATTCACTTTCTTTTTTGTTCAAAAGACCAATTTTTGTAACCCGATCACAAACACGTCATAATAATTTGTAGGAGGGCAGGGATGTTACATATATGGCGAGTTCTACGGTACCCTGGGTGAAATCCGGGGTACCGCATACCTTGAGTATGAAAACACTATCTAGACCTTGAATTGACCGATCTTTCGGACATGATACTATACTCTAACACTTAAAGATCAAAATCTAGGTGTTAACTCTCCCAATCTTATACTCCAAGATCAATTTAATTAGAAACAATAATCGACGGTTATGATTCATCCAAATATAGGCACAAAAAGGAATGCACCATCTTAGGGTTTATAGATTATGATTTAAGGATTTAATTAAAAACCGTGAAACCAACCATTGACAATATGCGGATTTAAGGATAACCGATAGAACTTCTATAGCCAGGATGAAGAGAAACTTCAAAATATCCTAAAACTTCCCCATTGACCAACAAAGAGAAAGAAGCCATAGAAATGAGCATTCTCCACGAAATTATAGTACGGAAACACCACAACAAAATAGTGGCACGAAAAAAGCTTCAACTCATTTTTCAGTAGTGAAATCTCAATCAGGATTACATCTTAATCTTAGTTTCAAAATTCCGTTTTCGAACAGAATAGGATATTGTTTGACCAATTGCTAATTGAATGAGGTTGCAGACTCGCGGTTCTTCCTACCTCAAGAAGGATGAACCAGGAGATTTTTTTAATCAAAACTTCAAAAGTGTCCACTTTCAGGTAATGTTTATATAATATTAATAAAGATCAAAAGTGTCCACTTTCATTGATAATTTCAAAGGTCTATTCATTTATGCGATCTAGTGGTTTACTCTATATCTACAGTTCTACACACATGTTAAGACACTGGTCACTAGATAGTCGTTTTTTCCAGTAATTGAGGGAAATTACAGAATAAAATCATTCACCTGACCTAAAAATACAATATATCATATTATAAACTAACTATTATCAATAATTCGAGTTGTTGAAAGAGATCCATTTATAATATGTAATCACTTTCTCACAAATTTTCATCTTAAGAATTTAAATTTGAGGTCTTCTAATTGTACATTTTACCAAAATTTTATTGCTAATTTGTATTATATCATCGATTCAATCTTAGAAATATCGCTTACCATTATATAAGTTCATATAATACAAAAATATTATCAAAGTGCCATATTGGTCATTTTTATACATTGACAATTTTTTGTAATTTTGACCGGTTTTGGTGATATTACACCGATATATAGTTACTTGAATATGTTATATTATTTTAACAACAATAACAGTCATGTACACAATTGAGTGAATCGCTAATATTGTACTACTAACTTCTCCGGTAGAGTTTTACAAATCATGTTTTCACAAGTTTGAGTCATGTTTGTCCAAGTTATCAAAATTTATATAATTTTTTTCCCATTAACAGTACTATCAAGGGTTGGATGGCTTGTTTGCAAGCCCATCTACAATTAGTATATTTTTTTCTATGGACAATCAGTATATTGCTTGATGATGTAAAAACATGTTTTTTCCCTCAAGGGTTTTTTAATCATATACGTTAGTGCACATGAAAATAAGCAAGTAGAATGTTTTGGTGGAGCATCAAAAGAAAGGGAAGGATGATACATGAATAATAAAAGGAAGATGAATTAGTAATGATTAATGATAACAGTGGCCCTCCCCCAGCCTTGAAATGGAGCCAATGGTGTATATAGTATGCCAATCAAACCAATACTTACAGAAATTAACCATACATTCCAAACTACGTCGAAGTTGCATTACCATAGGAAGTAGGGTGAGATATGCAATGCTAGACTATAGTTGTTGCTACTACTTCTACAGCGGCTTGCTGCAATTGTTTATCTAACTGAAGCTACCTTACTATTGTTGTTGATGTTGCTACGTCTGCAAATTGCAACAGCTCGGGATAAATATACACATTTCCCAACATTTCAAGGGTTACTGTGGAACACTTGGATAGATTATCAAATATGAACTATGTTTTTCTTCACTTCAAGCATTCTTATGTACTTGCAACTTTCAGTAGGAACAATCAACAATTGGTCCGTGTAGAAGTAAAATGCAAATCTATAGGCCAACAACAAATGCAGCTCATTCAGACTCTACTACTGCTAACCCTTGAGAACCATATTTTGCCTCGACTCTGTTATCCTTCGAGCTTCGACTCATGTAGCGCCTGCAACATAAGGTTTTATCTAAGTAAATAGACAATAAATAATGACAAATACCTTCCACGACACAACATAATAAGCCATCTCAATGTGCTCCGGAGCTTGGGAATTCATCAAACAAAATTGAGCAAATGCCCTATAAGTAAAGTTAGTTTTTTTATTAGCGAATTTCTGGCGAAGGTAGTTACCTAATTAAGTAGAGGCTAAATCCCACAATTCACACCCTTTAAGCGAAGTTGAAGCCCTAGAACCAAGTTTTTTTCCCTATGAGAAACCGTGGTTTTACATTTTTTGTATTTTTTTCTGTACATCGAGTCTCGGGTTGGAGCACCGTGTTAAGCCTGATTTTATTCATGATTGAACTACGATTTTAGCACCAAATTTTCTAATGCTAACTTTTTTGGTACGACCTTAGATATGGTTTTACAATTTTTTTATTTTTCTGAACATAAATTGATGCTCGGGTTGGAGCAACGTGTCAAGTCTGATTTAACCACGGTTGACTACAATTTTAGCTCAAAATACCCCAATGTTAACTTTACTGGTACGACCTTCAGTATGGTTTTATAATTTTTTATTTTTTTATGAACAAGCATCAAGGCTCGGGTTGGAGTAATGTGTCAAGCCTGATTTAACAACGATTAAATTACAATTTTAGCATAAAATATCCTAATAAGAAAATGAAACGATTTTACAATAACACGGATACAAAAATTTTAAACAGATAAAAATACATACGGTACATATACATGTATTAAAGTATTTAGTATCTATGAGAGAAATTAAACTTGTCAAATGCAAGTATGTCTTGTCCTCCAGGATGTCCACCGTAGCAACCACTTGTTGCTGAAGAATGAGAATCGAATATCATGCCCGTCACCTAAGAAAAGTCACAGTTGTGTGTAGGATAACAAAACTCTTATGCTACAGTGACTTCTTTCTGACTTTAATTATATTCATGTTGCTAAAGAATGAAGAATCGAATGTCATACCCGTCACCTAAAAAAAGTCACAGTTGTGTAGGATAACAAAACTCTTATGCTACAGTGTCTCCTTTCTGACTTTAATAACATTCATGGATGTTATGTGCTAACTAGGGGTGGAGGTCGGTCAGTTTCGGTTTTACCGAAAATCGAAAATTCGGTTATCGGCTAGCGGATGTGAGGGAGGGAAGAGGGAGAGTCACGAGTGTTTAGGTTTTTAAATTTAATTAGTTTTTTTATTGATAGGGAAAACAATTTGGATGGTGGAGGCAGCGGAAATGGGGAGAGTGATGGGTGATTAGGGTTTCAAATTCAATTAGGTTTTTTTTAATAGGAAAAACGACGTCATTTTGGGAATATCTGGGCGAAAGTCAGTTAGCCGCGATTAACCATTTCCGGTTACTCGGCTAACCGAACAACCCCTATATCTGTCCGTCAACCGACCGACGTTACATACAGTCGGTTTTCGGTCAGCCACTAACCGATGGTTTTCGGTCAGCCACTAACCGATGGTTTTCGATTAAACCGTCCGATTAACCGCTAACCGGAAACCAAACTGCCACCCCTAGTTCTAACATTAAATTAAGATCTTAGTAACAATAAACTAACTGTTAATTAAAGAGAAGGAAACTGTTGGTGGAAAGTGAAAAACAATGGGTCAATGCAGATTTATAGGGATGGCAACAAAATCCGAACCCATGGGTACCCACCCGACCCAACCCGGTCAACGCGGGTAAAACCCGTGTTGACGGGTTTTGGACCGGGTTCGGGTTTAAACCCGCTACACTATTCATCGGGTCGGGTTGGGTTTGGGTTTAGGTAAACCCGCCCCATGGGTACCCGCCCACACACATATAATTACTTTCCCGGTATATTTAATACTCTAAATAATATATCTTCCTTAAACAATTAATATTCTTTATGTTTGTGGAGACATATATAATTTGTTGTTTCTAATTATTTAGAATGAAGTTGATATTATGAAGTGGAGAGTGAAGAAACTTAGTTGACGAGTAAGAAGTTTTCAATTAATCTTATTGTTTATAGATGTTTATCTTTAATTTTGAACAATTTGTATTGATCATTTGCGGTTTGCTTGTATGCTCTAGATTGGTGTTTTTTGTATGAATAATTTGTATGAGAAAATTAATGTTAAACTTTTATTTTGAAAGAAACTTGTTATTGTAAATTTTTACCACAAAAACCCACGGGTACCCATGAACCCGCGGATACCCAGCGGGTTGGGTTGGGTTGGGTTTGAGTTTTTCAAACCCAGCGGGTTTTACCCCGGGTTTTTTTGGCGGATAAACCCATTGGTTTGGGTTTGGGTTTGACAAAACCCGGCCCAACCCGGCCCATTGCCATCCCTAATGCAGAACAAGTCTTCGGTGTGGTGGCGGGCCCGTACATCGGCCCGAAGTTGAAGTACATGCATATACTATATCCCACTTGTGTGAAGTGTAGAAGTCAAGTCTGGCGGCTCTACTCGGCAAATTTATGGGCCATAAAGAGAAAGGCAGAGCGCTTCTCCCTGTTATTTTATATATAATATATGAAACCTCTCTTGTCTACCAGACATATACTTCATAGCAAAGAGGAAAAGGAGGCAGGTAGATCTATATACAGATATGGAAGCAGTCAAGATGATGATGAGAAAGGGTCTCCCTTTCCTTCAACT